AGGCAGAGTACTAGAGCCATAAACGGGAAGGTTACAGATAGCACCAGGGTCACCAACCATTTTCCACACTCTAGAAGCCTCATGGAGATCAAGCCAAGACATGAGGCTGCACCCATGAACACAGCACACAGCTTTTACTCAATGTACATCATAGAGAATGGTCACCCCAGCCATCTTCTACTAATCAGAGCCACTAACTAACGGGAATTTTCTCAAATAATGTTTGCAAAAGAAGAAACAAAAGTAGCAAGTGTGGTATATTTGGAGAATAAAAATCTTTCAAAACCAGGGGTCTGTGTGGGACAAATACTACACAGGGTTCTCTGGGTGTTGAAAAAATAATAATTGCTAAGAAGTCACTGCATTAGATGGACAGATTTGGGCAGTTCCATGTGGTAGAAAACAGTTCAGCCAGAGTGCCGACAGGTGCCAGGGCATGAAAGGTCCAGAGTACAACTGCCCTGAGAAATGTGGGTGTCATAAAATATGCATATGAATGTGGTCACAAAAGTGTGTGTTGTATGTGTGTGTGTTTATAAAAAGAAAGAATGTGAGTGGGGTCAATGTGTATCCATGCCACATAGCATGTAAGTATAGGGCCATGGGAAAGCATGGTTATATATAAAAGAAGGGGAGAGAGAGAGAGAAAGAGAATGTGTGTGTGTGTGTGTGTGTTGTGTGTGTGTGTGTGTGTGTGTGTGTGTGTGTGTTAGGCTATGGGTCTAGAGAGTGTGTGCATGAAAGTGGGTGGGCGTGTATGGCTGTGAGAGTGTGTGGATGTGTGTGGTCACAATTCTATGTCAGGGCTCATGACCGCATCAGACTGTAGTCATGAGAATGTGTGTGTGCACAGTCATGGGGAAAGAGAGTATATGTGGTCAAAGAAGCCCGTGCATTCCAGAGTCTCGAGATTGTGTGTGCTCAGGGGGCACAAGAGCTTGTGTGTACATGTGGTGTGATCAGGAAAGAGTGCTGCTGCGCATAAGAATGAAAGTGCATGAGTGGTCTTGAACCTCTATGAGAATGTGTGAGGGATGGGAGGGAAGAACAGGAATAAAAGAAAACTCCACTTATTCCAGGTGCTCTGTCCCAATCAGGGCCAAAAGTTTCAGGCCCAATGTAAGCTGAGGTCATGGACCTGGGCCCAGCCCACCCTTTTAATTACCACCTCCTATCAAGATACACTGCTCCACATCCATGCAAGATGGCTGGGGTCATCCCCTGCATCTTCCAGAATGCTCAGTCTCCTGGACCAGCACAGGCCAAGCCCTGAGCCTGGCCCTACTACCCAGTACCCCACTACTCTATTCTCAGCAGAGAAGAGTCATTTTTCTAAAGCAGCAGCCAAGGACCCCTCTATCCAGTAGCTCTCCCCACCTAACCCCCACCTGGAACTACAGATTCCCCTTCAGTGTGTGGGAGTGGTGGCCACAGCATCTGTGAGAGCTGAGTCTTTAGTTGACTATCCCTCAGGAGTAAGGACCTCACTACTCAATGAGGAAGCCTCACTGTTACAATGAAGTTCTTCTTAAATCACATGGAAACCTATCTCCCTATCTTTGAAATGACGGTTATCTATTTGAAGATAATAACCAAGAAGGCACTCAGGTATGTGTTCAATTTATGAGAATTCAACTCTGCTGGCTGGGTGAAAAAAGCAACAAGGGCCTCTAAATGCAAACCAGCTATTTCATCTGACATTGAACTACAGAATCATATCAGGCATATGTACTCTATTTAAAATTATCATCCAATAGTATATATTACATATTTATATAATTAACAAAGAATGCATATTATCTATATATACACATATATATTAAGTTTCTCTCTTTATATATATAGTAAGTGTATACTATATATATTGTTTAGGGTTATAAACCTAAACCTATAGACCATGCTTTAAGAGAGATTTATGAATCTTATCTACTGACTATGGAATCTAATTCCCCCAGTGAGATATAATAGCACTGTACTGGGTCTCCCGAGGCTTCTCTGCTCCAGGTTAAATATTTCTAGTTGCAAGTAGGCCCTGTTTCATGGAGCTCAAGGGACCTGAGTGAAGACAATTCAATCTAACGATCTCTCAGTGAGTGATTTCCATGAATCCAACACTATTATAGATATGGAAGATACATCTCCATCCTCAGGAAGTTCATGGGCTACTTGGGAGAACACAGATACACATGTAATCATCTGAGAGCAATTCAGAGGATCATAGGACAAATATGCTCTCTGGCCCAGCCTGGGGGTCAGTGCTAAGCATCACTTGGAATATAACCAATTGAATCAGCTGGCAGCAGTTTCTCCACCAGCTCTGAGAAGGAAGTGGCCCTAGCCAAGGTCTCAGCCCCAAACAGAAAGGCAAGCAGCTGCCTGTGCTACAGCTAACTTCTTCTGGAGGAACAGAAGACACCTGAAGGAGGACCTGAGGCTGTAGCACCTAAGCCTCTCTGCAGGCAGGAAAAAGAACTGGGCAGCAATTAGTTTGTGTGGCAAGGCGGTGGCCAGGCAAGGACAGGCAGTGAATAGGGAGTCCTGAGGGTCTTGCTGGTCCTCACACCCTCCTCACTTAGAACTCCTTGCACCACTACTGTTTCCCTCCACAAGCCCAACCCCCAATGATATCCTTGGTTCCTCCAGGTATCCCTCTCAATACAGCAAATATGGGGGGTCACCTAGAAGCAGCCCCCTTCTAAGCAGAGTACTCAGAGAAGCCCTGGTCCTGGGCATATGGTCCTCAGCGTAGGATCACAGTTCCTGTGAGTACTCTTCACTCCGCTGGCCATCCAAAGTGCCATGTTCCTGTGAGCCAGCACCGTATGCCCTCCAGAGCTAATTATAGGTCAGTGAGCTAGCAGGCCAGAGGGGGACAGATGGTGACTTCATGTGGCTGCAATATACACTTGTCCCTCCCTCTGACCCCACTCCCCCCTTCCATTTCTCTCAATTCCCTACCTGGGACCCAGGTTCTGAAGCAACTTCAACTCCCTCAGTCTTTCCTGCTCCTAACTCTTTTTCTCCAGTACCCCCCCCACACACACACAGACCCACACTCATGCATGCACACACACTTACACAACTCCAGACAGTCACCACTCCTTGTTCATAGAGCAGCTCCTCTACCAACTCAACAAAATTGAGCTGAAGGCCCAGCAGAGAGTATCCCTGGCATAAGAAGGTACTAGCTGGCTCCCAGGTATCTGAAATCCTCCTTGACACTAAGCTCCCTGGCCCTCCTGAGTCCTCACACCTGTGTCATTGCCACCACAGTCCAACTCCTCATCCTCCCCCCAGTTCTAGCCCTCCTATCCTCAAAGGCTCAGAACGGACACATGACAATCCCTGATAACTCTTCCAACTCTGAGGTTCCATCAATTCACCAGGGGACTCAAAAGTCTGATGCCTGCCTTGCCCCTTCTCATCCTTCCTTTAAAACCCAGCTGCCAGACCTCTCACACTCTGACAACATGACATGCTCAACAGCACACACTCAATACCATTAATGAGCTTTCCCCTCCATGCCCCCTCCCCCATACTTTTCCATCTTCCAGAGATGGGTGTCTCCCACTGTGCAGAGAGGCTCCCAATAACCACTGGGCTATCCATCATCTCATTACTTTCAGATACTATTTATCTTAAGCAACCTCCTTAGACCACAGGACAAAATCTAAGAAAACAACCAAGGGAAATCATTCAAGCTGTCCTTTTTCTAAGGCAACTCCCCTGGGACTGAACAACTCATAGTGGTAGGGATGGCACAGGGTTGGAATCCTATTAGGCTCTGTCTTTTGATAATTCAAAAGCAATGTAATTAAAATGTGTGTGTGAGGGGAATGTTAACAGAGTACCTAATATTTGTACATAAATTGAGTACCTTTCAGCTGCTYCATGGCCCTAAACTGCCTTCAGAAGACCAAGTATCTAATATGGTTCCTGGACCAATGTTCGCTGGATATTGAACAAAGTACCAACAACTCTGTAAAGAATACAGGAAGTCCCTGCAACCTGGCTCCTGAAAAGACCTCTTAAGATCACACAAGGAAGGGATCTCCATGCTAAGCAGAGACTCCTTCCTAATCACTTGCTCCCCTCAGAGAAGAAATGAACAGCAGCCTCAACTCCCCTACCTCTCAATGAATACTACCAACATATCTCTCCTTAAAGGTGACATCAGCACCTAGTGGCACTTTGTCCTAGATCCCTCCTCCTTCTCAAGAAAACCACCCACACCCATTCCAAGTCCTCCAACCCGACCTCTCTTCCTACCCACCATCAAAAACCTTGAGATCTGCACCGGAAAACATCTCTACTGCGTGGACAAAAGTCAGCTCCCCATCACACCCTCCCAGTTCAGGAATCTCTATTCCAGCTGTCTTTTCCTGTTGCGCCCACCCTCATCCCCGCCCCCACCAGGCCTCCGGTTGGCCTCTCTTTCCACCCCACCGCCCTGGCACTGCGGAGATGGGGGCATCTGGGGCATAGCTTAAGACTGACAGCTCCAGGAATGGAGAGCTGGCAATAGTAACAAGGGATATAATGAAGCACGCGGGAAGGATTAAGACCCCCAGAAACGCGAAGACCTCTGTCCCTGAGAAAAGATTGCCCCAAGGAGTGATTGGCCAACAAGCTGAGGAGCGCTATTTCTCTGATTCTCCCGGAGGGGAAATGAGGGTGCATCAGTTCACCCAGTTCCCACCCGGGAACTAGCCAACTGAGCCCTCCTCCCGCGAAGACGATGGAGCGGAGGGCGAACTCCACGCCCTCCCTGCAAATCGGCATCGCCCCCCATTCTCATCCCCAAGGGCACAGGGCACTGCAAACACTGGAGAGGGGCGGCGGAGGAAACAGTATCTGCGCCTGCCGCAGACACATCCAGAGTAAAAAGGGACAGTTTCCCAAGGTGCGCTAGACAGCGACCCCCTCCCCAAACTGTGGAGGGGAGCTGGAACTGGGAATAAGAGTCATCCTTCCCCCCAGCTCGGGCTCTGGGCGCTCACCTGTGTCTGCAATCGCCGAAGGCCCAGCAGCGGGCAGCTCGGCTCGGAGGCAGCAGGGAGCCGCCCCCGGCCGGGGCAACGAGACACGTCCTAGAAAACTGAGCGCGCGCGGAGGTAGATACAGCCTCCGCCACCCTAGCGCCCTGCCTCGAAGCCCCGCCCCCTCCCCCGCGATACCCTAGCCCCACCCACAGGGGCGTGGCCTGGCCACCTCCCCCCCAATACCACGCCTCCCGCCTCCGGGCGCTCGCCGGCCCTGGCACGTGACTAGGGCGCCGCTTTGATGCTGTGCGCCATCTTGGTTCGGCCTGGAGAGTGCTAGCGAGGTGGCCGAGTGCCAGAGTTTTACCTGGCGACAGTAAGGTCTCAGGGCCGTCAGTGCAGCTAATATCCCCAACCCCTGTCTTTTAACTCACCCCTGTCCTTGGTAACAATCTGTTCCCTAAATTGACAGTGGTTATCACCTTTCACACCTGCTCTCTCCCATCCTTTTAAGTTAAGAAACTTGAAATCCATATACATTTCGTAGTATACACTTAAGTAAACTGTGTCACTTGCCTTCGGGCATCTGACTGTTCTAACACTGTTACTATAAAATGAAGTATTTGTAAATTGCATACACATAGTATGAAAACTGACTCAGGCCAAAATTCCTGACTGACAACTATAGCTAAACCTCTCCATTTTCCTGAATTTCTCCCTAACCCTGTCCACACCTCCCTCACACCCCGTGGCTATTAATGCATCTTTTCCATCTGGTTTGTTAAGTTTCATCACAGTGCCTACTCAATCCTTTACAAATATCCAGTAAGCACTGCTAGAAGTGTGAAGAATTTTTATATACATGCAATGTGTACACATGCATTTATAGATATATACACATCCTATTTCAGCAGCAAAGACTGTAGTTGAGATCAGTGACACAATTTTTCACTTATTATTTTTCCCCCAATATATTTGCCACTTGGCTTAGTTTCCTTACATTACTAGAAGGCAAGAAAATCTGAGTAATCCCAATTCATTGGGGGGGGGGGGTTAAAGCTAAATTTGTATTACTTTGATCCTCAGAGCAAAATTGTGGTGTGTGGGTGTGTGTGTGTGTGTGTGAGTGTGAGAGAGCGAGGGAGGGAGGGAGGGAGATGTGGGGGGGTGGGGAGTATTTTTTAACCTAGAGTCCAGAAAGTTCCAACTCTTCTCTACCTGGAGTTCTTACCAAGGGAAATTCCTAAGACTTCACAACCTTTTACCAACAAAATGTGAATTGTGCTAGGCAACTTAGCCAATGCAAAGGAAGGCTGAAGCCATCATAACCAACTATAACACATTTACCAAGGGCTTGTCCATTATGAGAGAGAATCGATGATGAGAGAAGAGCAGAGACATTATGCAAAGTGTATCTATCATTATACCATGGAGTTTGATACAAAAACTCAGAAGTTGAATCAGAACACAATTATTAAGCTGAATTTATTCACCCCCCTTTTAAAGGTAACTCCTAAATGGGGGACACACAATCCACCAGGACAACTTCCTCCCACTCCATGGCATCTTTTGTTTAGGGAACTAGGGACTGTGCTTCTTTCCTTCTGCCACAAAGAGGTAACTTTTGATTGTAGAGATCTTCGAGGTGCTTATTGTTCTTAGATTTATTTTTATTTTTATTTTTTTGGCTTGTTTTTACCCAAATTCTGTTTTTCACTGACCCAGGCTCACTATCTATGAACAGCTTAAGTACCACCCTTAATGTGGGGTAAGGCTAGCTGTTAGTAACCATATAAGGCAGATGCTTCCTAAGAATATTCTTTAAATAGCAGAGGGTAAGAAAGATGGTAAGGGGAAAAAAAAATGCTAATTTAGGTATTTGGCTCTTAATGATATCTCCCCCACAGAATTTTCATGTTTAAAAATGTCATCTTAATGCTCCCTTCTTKACAATATCCAGCTCCCTGGATCATAGGGGTTGCAGGGGAGCAGCAAGGTTATCTTCTTAGCAAAAACAAAAGTCACCCACCATCCTCTTCTCAGAGTACACCAGCCATAGCAAGTCCTCTGCTCAACAGGAAGACATTAGCATCTCTACCTGGACAAGAGGCCTGACAACAGAAGCAGTACAGTGCAGGGCAGAGCAAAGCAGAGCAAAGCAAAGTTACTAAGTGCTTATGGTTTAAGAGGATGGTTTCAACATGCGGTGCATTTTTAAAAAATGACCTTTAGCATAATAAATGCTTTTCTAACAACTTAATGAAAATGCCACTATCCTTCCTGAAATAACTTTCTTGGTTAGTTTATATTTTACTAAAAAACACATATTTAAAAGATTATTTCATCAATCTTATATACTTTTTAGGCTGATCAAATTTTTCTCAACCTTATACCTTTAAATCTATTATATTCTGCCTATTCTCACCATTATCTACCACAAGAAAAAATGAAACTGACTTTTTAAATTGTGGCATAGTGAAAAAAACCTGGATCAGGAAAAAAAAAAAAAAGATCTTAGCTCTGCCCATTTATTGGCAGTTATGGCCTTGGGTAAGTCACCAATTCATTTACTCAATTATAAACTGGAAATAGTTTCACCTACCTTGCAACACTATAAGGATTAGAATACTACATAAAGTTCCTAGTATCCCACCAAGGGCACAAAGTCATTATCACTATCAGCGTCATGCAGAAAAGGAAGGGAAAAAAAAAAAAAAAAAAAGAACCCTAAAACCCAAAACTGGCAAAACAGTATTTATGCAATAAATATCCAAAAATTATTTTAAAAGAAAGATTCACAAGTTGATCTTGTAAGATTCTGAAAACCCTGTCACCTGTTTTATTTCTGGAGAAAGGTAAAGGGAGATGAGAAAATATTCACTTGAATTTGAGGGGCAGCTACACTGGAAGCAGTAGTTATAACAATTTTAGGCCTCTGGCTCTGTTCCTCTGATCCATAAGGGAAAACTTTCTTGCTTGAAGATTTAAGTGTTTAATTTTTCCCTAGAGCAAGATCATCCATTTTCAATAGGATGAAAGAATATAGAACAATAAACTCAATAGCACCAAATGGGATTTAACACAGAAAACAGGGTCAGGTTTCTCCTTTCAAATGCAAATTTTACATTAAAATATGTTTATAAACCATAGTTGTTTTCCTCTTGATTCAACCCTTCTCCAATAATAGGAGCCCCAGGAACCAAAAGAGCATATGCATTACTAATCAGATATACAACAGAACCATCCCCTTCAAACTGAAATCTGATTACTTATGGACTAGACTCAGGGCTGCCCCAAAGGATGGGAAGAAATAACTATGCTCTCAGGGAGAACGGATACTGCGGATGCCACCAGTCAAAGAGTCGGACGCTGTGCACTGGATCCAGGATGACTTGCACACCCTGTTCACTGCGCAGGTTCCGACCACCGTGGACAGGAGAATCTTGGAACACCAGTCTCACTCGATGATGCCGCATGTCTGTGCTCACATTAATAGTAAACTAGAAGAGAAAAACAAATTTAATACCCAATTCAAAAAAACTTGGTTTCCTCTGGCTCACCCTGAAATGAAACAGTCCAGAAATAATTTATACTGACTAGGTTGCAACATTAATCTCTAAGTTATAACACCAACACCTTTGTAAAAACATTTAAAAAAGTGTAATTTTAACTTTTTTAAATTTTTTTGTWTGTTTGTTTCTGGTATCAAGGGATTGAACCCAGAGGCACTTAACCACTAGGCCTCATCCCCAACCCTTTTTTATATTTTACTTTGAGACAGAGTCTTGCTAAGTTGCTTGGGCCCTTGCTAAATTGCTGAGGCTGGCTTTGAACTGGCAATCCTACCAAAGCTACTGGGATTACAGATGTGTAAGGTCTTCTCAGCTTTCATATATTTAAACTAGGCTAAAAAAAAGTCTTCCAGATGGTTGAATAAATTAGTACACACACACACACACACACACACACACATACATATCAAAGTCATTAAAGTCAAGTAAGAGATGACTTGAAGGGATTTAGATAACATTGAACAAATTAAGGATGATGCATGAAACATAAACCTGATCCCCTTTTTTTGTAAAGTGAAACTACAAAATCTCCAAATATGCATATGTAGTTCTATATAGAATTAATATGAAGGATATGGAATGTGAATACATAACTAGGTCATTAATACGGCTTAACCAAGAGGAAGGAGAAAAGTACCTACAACAAAAATAGCATATATGACATAATCTCAATTACTCAAAATTATCTGAGAAAGGATATATACATGAATATTAACAGATGCATTAGAAAAACAGTTTCCAGGTTAACTGCAGTTACAAGACAGTGGAAGTCTAAGTCACCTTTACTTTCTCAATATATTTATGTATTATCTAAATTCTTTACATGAAGCATTATTTTTTACCATTCAAAAAATAATAAAGCTATTTTCATTTTGGAGGGGAAGTCTGCCTATCTATGAACATAAGCCCTAAACACAGAAAAGATAAACAGCCCAAACTTTCTAGTTGCCAATCCAATTAAAATATTTTAAAACATGGAAAAATTAAGACACAGGCACATACACTGTTTACTAATTCTTAGCCAAATGCTGACTAGCCAGAGCACTGCACAAAGGTAGAGCTGCTCACCCTGTACTTAATGTTCCATTTGAAACCACATGAATGCCTCACAGTCTTGACATACAATGTGCATGCACACGCTTCCTCATTATTTCTTTTAGTCATAATGATCATTGCACACACATAACAATGCAAAACATTCCCTGATCTAGAGAGAACAATAGGTAACAACATATTCTAATATATATTAATCCCCAACTATCTGTTAATATACAAGCCTAATTTCAAATTTTTATAAATTATTCTTCAGGTATTTTTTTCTCACTGGTTGAATTTACAAATCTCTTTTAAACTCTAAATATAGCAAAAGTTTATAAAAGAGCTGTGGATGAAATCCTGAGTCTCCACTTACCAGGGTAAATATCATTCCCATGACAATTGGAATAAAGATGAAATTGAGGGTGGTGACCTGCAGTAAGCAGCAGTCCTGGTCTGGGTTAGTATGAACATCTTCATACTGAATGGGAGGCTGCAATCGTTCCATACATTTGCTCTTTAATCTAGGGGACTGAAGAGAACCA